CCAGTGTTTTTGAGGGCATGTCAGACTAGTCGCTCAGCAAGCATTATGATACACATTTTCTTGTGACATCATAAGAAGGCGGAAGTAAAGGCTGGACTACAAACAAGCTGTTTTCAGGCAGTTCAGAGCAGAGTTTTCTGTGGGAGATGGGAACTCCCTTTGGGCTGGACTTTGGGCTTTTTCACTTTGCAAACCTGTTACAGCACAAAAAAGATATAAAACTCAATAAAGGAGAGGGAAAAAGCCTAAAAGCAGAATACCACCTCTTCAATGGTTCAACTATGTAAACAGTTACATCTTAATCTGTTACTTAGTTTAAATATATATATATATATATATATATATATATATATATATATATATAGCAATAAGTGACACAGCTGAAGCAACAGAGACCAAAAACTAATTTACCTCTAAGAACTCACAGCAGGTGGATGCAGAGCAGATTTTCCAGGACATTAGTTAGCGGAGGTGGTAAGCGTCAGTCCCTGAAAATAAAACAGCACTTAATTTCAGTAACCAGGAGGTTGTGTTGAAGCTCCTCTCTGGAACTTTGCAATCAGGCCACCTGCCACCTTCTTAAATGAACAGCAAAGAGGGGCGGGTTGCACACACACAGAAAAGACTGACATGCACAATTGTTGTGTTGTTATAAACTTTACTTTATCAGATAGTCATAATCTGATAAAGACCTCTTTCGCGAGAGAGGCCTGAATACAGCAACAGAGTCAAGACACACAAAACACAGCCAGTCACACACATGCTTACAAACATAACACGCATCTCTAAAAATGTTCAAAAACTAAAGTTTAAATTCATCCAAAAGGTTGATACTTTCAAGTTTGAATGTGTTTGGAAGGTCATTCCATTTATATGACAATAAGTTCTGCGTCACGATTTTTTTTTACAAAATCGACAGCGTTATGACCTTGAAACTGCAGTGGTTGTTGTTTCAGTGCATTTACTTTCCCAGCGATTCTAAGTCACATTGTGATATTTCCCATGGCCTTCCAATGACGATGGTGTTTCTGAAACATCAATAATCGAGAAGTTTGAAGTGTTATTACTGATAAAGTATTGTGCCTATAAAGTTTAACCAGAAACAGATGGCTTTTGCAGAATGCCATCTATGTATTTAACAACAAGAAATTTACTCCAGTATTTTTAACGAAAAACTCGGGTCACCACCAGTCAGACAATGAGCTAAAACATCACACACAATATTAAAACCTCACAACACTATGTCCAGTTCCTGCTCTTTTTTCATGTTGAAAGTAGGTATGACTGATGTCTTCTGACACATATTTTGGTAGATCTTTGACAACAGTCTTGGAGACTCTTTTCCTTAGTTCAGTGGCAGTGGCCTGGACCTTTGAAGGTACATTTATTTTCAACGTGGTACATTTCCTTTAAATGTGGCCATTGTGTCTCTATGGGTCGTGCCAACTTTGCGCTCGTCACCTCTGTTGTAGAAATTCAGGGTAAACAACTGTTCACAGTTGTGTGAGCAGCTTTCCAAATTAACCTGGTGTTTACATGAATCAATTTGAATAGAGCAAATAGTAAAACCAAAACTTAGCACACTGTAATCATTTCACTTTGATGGCCGACTGTGTGGCCAAACAACCAAGGCGCTAAAACACATGGAACTGGAAAGGAAATGTCTTACTATGATCTCAAACATACTGATAATTTTCTTTACTGCGCTTTTCTTTACTTAATTTTTTTTGAATTAAAGAAAGCTTACTTCTCTTTATTATGGCTGTGTACAATGTGAAGACAACTCATAGATAGCATATCCTTATTTATTAATGTTAGCTACAAGGTACAATTGAGCAGGTGTGCGGAGGTGAGAGAATGTTTGAATGTCTATAGTTATTTCCTTAACTTTTCATGTGACTAAATGAGTGCAACACTACAAATATCTTCCAGGAGATACTGTATGTTAATTAATTTAAACAATTTGTAACGATGTTGCGTGCAAAACCGTTACAAATTGTTGCATCTCCCCTCTCTCTCTTTGACAACCATTTTTTCACTCATCTTTGCGTCTGGCTGTTCGGAACTAAACTGTTTGATGTGGTCGGACAACACGTCTTTTTCAAGCGTAACCTGGCTCTTATCCACCATACTTTCATCCCGTCCAGAATCTACCACAACAAAGCTCATTGTGTTGATGCCTCAACAGAAACAAAATCAGGATACTTTCAGTGACAAACCTGGGGACACAGTTTCCCAGAAACCAAGACAAGGTCTACCAGTGTGAAGTCCCCAAACACCCAGATAATACACATAAATAGAAACTCAATACATCATTGCTTGTACAAGCTGATAAGCGTCATTAGCATGCCACTTATCAGTCAGCTACATGCAAACACTTTCAGATTATCTGAATGTAAGATAGATATATATACACCACTTAGCAGGTGTTCACTCAGATAGACTTGCGAATCTGTGAAACTCGGTGCTTCACTTGAACAAACCCCTGATCTGTTCACAATTCATATTCAGTTGTTCTATTGTTTCTGTTGTTAAATTTTTATGATGTTTTGACATTATTCCTTATGGAGTGTGATGAATATTTTAATGTACCCGTGATGTGTGAATATGTTATAAGACTAGCTTGATTAGGATAATTATTAACATGTTTATTACAATAATGTTTAAAGTGTACATACATAAAGATACACTGACCTTGTGGTGCAGTTGACTCGCTCAGCCCTATTACTCCCTCAGGCTGCGGCCTTCACATTTTTGTAGGAAGACAAAGACCATAGACTTCACAACAACACACACACCTCATGTTTTGCAAATACACACACACCCACCCAGAAAGGCCAGATGGGAAGTTATGGTGAAGACCATAATTCAGAATTAATTACACATCCAAAACAAGACACACTGACGCCTTGGATTTTCACATAAAGTCAATAACCCTTGGAGCCATGCTCCATAACAGTAAACTAAGATTTTTAAACATAGAAGGCCCAGGTAAGGAGGGCCTGATGGGGTCGAACACTCGATTTATGAACACAAAGGGGCCTTTATGGGGAGGCTAACTCTGAAGGTCAGCATGTGATGTCACATTCAGCACACATGCCTGTGTGCATGTGTTAATGTTGCTGGAAAACTGGATTTTCTGTTTCAGAGACAGAGATCAGATAAAACCTAGATCAGCAACTTATGCTGTGAACCTAACCTCTTCGGGAGCAGGTTTACTTCAACATTTCTCTCTGACTCCTTCCCTCCTGCGAGGCCTGAAACAGCCGTCTGACCCACCGTTTAATTTCCTTATTTATACTGTTGATCTCAAAGCACAAATGGAATGCATTCACTTGCAGAAGTTTACATATTTAAAAACATAAAAATCCCAGTTGGATATTAGTTCGTTACCCAAACATGATTTTTAACATGAACGCTTTTATGATCAATCTGTCATCAATGTATGGACGGAGACAGTTATCTCTGGACATCATGGATTTATCCTCAGCACAGAATATGTAGGCGACACTGTACTTCTTTATAACAGCAGCCGTCAGATTGGCAACAGTTGCACTGAAACATTTAGCAAGGAAGTAACTGATCAATGAACAATCATCTGTCATATTGTGATTAGTCACACTGATGGAACATTGTTATCGTAGTTATGTTGGAGATGATGTGAATATTTCTGAGTGAGGATGACTGTGGTGCAGCTGGAACAAATAAATGTAGTTTAAAAGTGAGTTTTTCAATATTCGCTACATATAGTCTTAATGTGCTTTGACAGCATTTAATTAAATAGCAAAATAAGCAAGATGGTTAATGTAAAAATAGACGTCTACAACTTTACAGTCAGTTTGAACCTTCAGACACATTTCCCACTGCAAAATAATGATTTATAGCCTAACTGGGCCAGACTGTGACTTTACAATCACAGGTCCATGAGCAACCTGTGTCTTATCTGTTTGATCCATATTTTCATCTTCAGGTATTGCTACCAGCATTTTGTCCTGTCAGGTTATAGCTGAAGGCTATAAATACATTTAAAAATGTTATAGGCTATTGGATAATTCCAGCACTTTATCAATCTGGTAAATGCTAAACGAGCGGACTATGCTGAATAAAATGAAATATTCTTAAGTTATTTATCTTTCCTCCACTCCTGTTTTTTAAGATAAACGTCATGGTTCGCATTGGCAGCCATTCATATTTTATCTCCACTGGATAAAAATGGAGGCTCTGCTCTTTATTTACCCGTTGCCATGGTAAATCGTAGTATTGGAACGCCATTGTTGAGGCTTTTTTCATCCCCACGCACCCGCTTCCATCAGGTTCAACATACTTTGAGTTGACTGAACTAATTCTGATTGGCTGTTCTGGAACCGAAAACTCAGAGTTTCCCATCTCAGGCTCAGTCAACTCAGAGCTCAGGGTAAAGCTCAGAGTGTATTAAGCCTGCTTTCTGAAACAGGACCTGAATTGGGTTGCAGACCTTTACTGTATGTATTTAAAGCGACCGTAAAAACAAATTACTCTACCGGCTTACTGTGTCCATGTGATCTAAGGTTGTTGTCACATCCTTATGATGCCACTGCTGAAGTCTACGAACATCAGCACATTATCAAACTGGTCTAACATGTAAGAAACCAAGTAAGACAGAAGAATCACAGTTGAGCTGATGTAGTTGATGATATGTCCACTTGGTGGTGCACATTATCCGTCACCATCTACAGTGAACTCATGAGAAGAGGAGCATTTACAGTATAATTTACTACAGCAAGACAATTTGTTTTGATTACAATTTGACATTCAGGCTTTTCTGTTATAACTGAGCCTAAAAATGCAGCTTGTTTGTTTGAACAAGCTGCATTTTCTCTGTGAATCTGCCCATCTTTAACTTCTGACTGCTGGACTCGCAGCTCAAACCCACAGAACTTTCTAGTTGTAGTAGAGTTTCCAAATATTTCAGGATGTAAATGTTTTGTATATTTGAAGGACTAGATGAACCACAAAGACCAGAGTTTGGGTACACTTTAAGACATTTTTCTCAACTTGACAGGAAATTTTAGGGGGTCAACTAAGAAATATAATTAAAATCCCCGACTTCAATTTGTTAAACCACATAGGTTTGAGTTATTGGCTTAACTGAGTTTTTTTATTTCATTATTATAATCATTGAAAATGTACTGTGTTTACACACATCACAGATGTAAAAAACAGCATAAACCAACAAACACAAAACAGAGACTTAACTCAATATACTACAAAAAAAAGGTAAAAACAGGATCAGACAGCGTTGCTGGATCAGGTCATTATAATCAAGAAAGAGCTTATTATGTGGCTTCACTTCCTCTCTCTGTCCTCAGGGATTTGAGCTCCTGCTGGGTGGTCGACTGACTTCCAGATGAGGATGTCGTGTTCTCGCCATCATCGGCATCATGTCCGCAGCGAAGGGCACGGGGTAGCGAGGTGCAAAGGGCCTTCCTGAACATGGAACTGGAGAAGACGTAGACGATGGGGTCCATGGCCGAATTTAGGAAGTTCAGCCCCAAAGACACGATGGTGAGCTGGGTGAAAGTATAGAAGGATGAGCAGTCCCACGGACGGTACGAGCGGATGACCCACACCCCGATGGTTGTCACTGTGGTGGGTAGGAAGCACACCATGAACACTACGACGATGACGACACACACTTGCATCGCCTTTCGCACCTTGTCTGCTTTTCCCATCGTGCGCTGCTTCAGGAAGCTGGAGATCCGGATGGAGCAGAACAGCAGCATGGCCATCGGGATGATGAACTCAAGCACCGTCAGGATCTGGTGCATGCCGACCAGGATGATGATGGCCCGCGACGCCTCTTTGTAAGAAGTGAAGAAGAAGCACTGGGTGTTGTTGCCGCTGAACTTGATGTGGTTGTAAGCCAGCATGGGAACCCGAGGACTGATCACCAATAGCCAGACAACCAGTGACACAAACAAAGCCTGCTTACTGGTCATTCGGTTGAACCTGTGGTGAGGGTGAACTACCTGGAACAAGAGGACAGAATGATGAATAATTTTACATGATTTAGAGCAAAAATATGTCAGACTTGATATTATACTGAATACACAGTCTTGCTATGTTTATAGCTTCTGTTCCACCAACCTTGGCCAGACAATGGATATTCTCATTCATGGAGTATTTAAATTAGCCTTTTAACTACTCCAGTACAGACGGGTATCAACTACTGTACTGGATTTAATTTGATCACTTTTTAATTGTTGCACTGAAAAAAGAAATATTTCAGTCTCCTAAGATCTTTAGTTAGTCATCCTTCAAGAGGTGACATACACTGCGATATGCTGTGAATCAACACACCTGCTCTAAACTTTCACCCATCAAACAAAATTAGTTAGTGAATGTTGTCTGTGAAGGTTCTCAGTTATCCAGTTCATAGTTATCCAACGAAGGTTGAGGTCAAGGGGGACAAAACATCTTCTAGTTTTTCTACAACCAAGTCCAATTGCCCTTGACCTCAACTTTCACTGGATGGTTAGTGAATGTTCATTTTTGGACCTCGGAATTAATGATTTGATGAAAAGAAAATCTAAACTCAGGGTTCACTTACTTGTTTTATTTTAGAGCTGTTCTGTTCCAAATGTGTTCATTTCAAGTTACTTTAATTTGGATGTTATTCATCACTATTACTGACATAAAAGTGGATATTGTTACAATATTTTCTTTTTACATTGGATTAGGCTTGGCCACGTTTCCGTTCGTAAATGGACATTTCAACTGTTGATGACTTTTAGCTAACTATTTCAGCTGTTTGTCCAGTACTTTTGGGTTACTATTTCAGATGTTTCTCCAAAACTTTTAGGTAACTATTTTAGCCGTTTTTCCAGTTCTTTTGTTACTATTGTAGCTATTTGTCCAGTACTTCTGGGTTACTATTTCAGCCGTACTGTACCCCCTGTACTTTTAGGTTGCTATTCTACTATATTACTATATACTCTGCTTCTTTGCTAATTCTTTACACACTCTCAATGGCAACAACTGACATTCAGGTGCGGTTGACTCAGGTGAGAGTTTTGTATTGTGCAGTCAGGTCTTTGTAGCTTGTAGTTTATTGGTTATTGTCAAAGTTAGATTAAAATCAGCATCACATCATTTTGTAATCAAATAGAAAGCTATCAGTACCCCTAGTTCGGAATTACTCAACAAACTATGACTCAAAACTACTGAAAAGCCAATCAATATATTGTGTATAGAGTTTTGGTACAAAATTGTAAAATGGATGGCCTATGTGAGAACAAAACATAATACAAAGTGTACTCATCTTCTCACCTTGAAGTAGCGGTAAATTGCCACCACAGTCATGAGTGCGATGCTGGCTGAGCGGTTGGAAAACATTAGGAAGAGGTTGATCCGGCACATGCCATCTCCAAACACCCAGTGGCCCCTGAGCAAGGCATCGATCCTCAGTGGCAGACTCACCAGAGCCAGGAAGTCAGCAATGACCAGGTTGAAGAGGAATAAGTTGTTGGGATTCCAGGCCTTCAGTTTAAAGCAGAAGATCCACAGGGCAACTATGTTTCCTAGCAGCCCCAGTATGACGTCAATGGTGAGAACTGGGGGCAGGATCACACCCTCCAGTTGTATACCAACTGGTGGGCAGCCGCCGCCTCTACCAGGAGTCGGGGTTGTGAAGTTCAATATTGTGGATTCATTTTGTTTTGATAGCATTTTGGCAAATTAAATTCTAAATTTATGTTATAATTTCTTTTCTAACAAAAATAGATTTTGGGAAGAGACTAAATATATTATTATTTTTAGATGCTGCTATTAAAAGTTGTGGGTTTGGTGGTTGATTAAGTAGAAAAATATCTGTATGACCACACCAAGGAAAGTTTCAAGATTCAGGAAATTTGCCCCTTCCTCTTTTCACTTTCTTCCTTTTTTTCTGAAGAATGAAATCTGTGTAAAAACACAAAACAGAGCAGTTTCACTTCTCCACAGGTCAAATAATAAAGCATTCTGTACAAAACACGTGGACAGAAAACAAGTCTAATGAACTAATATCTTTAGAACATTTTAAGAATAAAAACATTTAATCTTAAAACAAATCATGGAGTTTATTATATTGACATATGATTTATTTTCAAAGTGCAGTTTTAAAGATATATAATTGAACCTGAACATCTATTTATAGTTAATAAAATTTATTTACCAGATACAAAATGCTATCAGAAATTACATACATGTAACCTTACAAATAATGCAAAAATATACTATTTGACTACACCAACCAATGCTAACAAACTAATACTATGAAAATAAGAGTTTTTTTTAATTATGAAACTTTAATTTCATGTACAGGCACATTATTATTTCTAGTTTCTCATTAAACCCATTCATAACTGCACACACACATATAACGTTAGGTTAAAAAATACTACGTACATTTACACACTTAATATAGTGAGAACTCACCAGTCAGCCTCACCAGTCAGCCTCACCAGTCCGCTGCATGAAAGGATTTCATTCTTAAACTGTTGAAAGAATGACTAGAGGGATTTGTGACCTCAGTGTTTTTATGTCTCTGACAGGAGGATGTTCCTGTGAGGTTGACTTCCAACCCTGTCGTCAGTCAGCAGTTATCACAATAGTATTGGTACAGAAGGTACAAAAAAGTGACGCATAAGATCAGAAATCCTTTGTTTCACAATACATTTCACCAGAGTACTATTTTTAGAAATTGAGGAGCACAAATAAACTGGCTGAAGTGACAAACATATGTACCATTCAGACAATAATTGAATCCTCAACCATAATAAAGACTTAGACTACGTTCAGACTGCAGGCCATAGTGACCCAAATCTGATTTTTTTTGCCCATATGTGACCCAGGCCAAGTCATATGAAATCTGATCTTTTCCAGTTCGGAATTGGGCCACTTCCATATGTGGTCCAAATCCGATACAGATCGGCTCTTTTTAGTCTGGACATTCAGGTCGGAACTGATGCGACTTTGACGTCACTCTATAGCAGCTGTTGTCACAGTTCTGCTGTAGACGGAGCTGCGGTGAATGAAAAAGCTTCACAAAAATCCATTCAACATGTGGCTCTTTTTCTTCTCTACCTTGCTTTCATCTGCTCAAAACTTCCCTTTCCTACACCTGAAATCGACCGGACCGTGAGCTTTCTTCTACGTTATGTGCATGCTATTTGTCCGGGCGGACACAATGGGGAGTGAGACGGAGGGAGAGAGTTGTGGGGCAGTTGCGTTGTACAGCGCCAGAAACCGTAAAGAAAAGAACAGAAAGTTGTGACCTGTGAAAGGACTCGCATGCGGGTCACATTCAGGCCGTGGGCAGTTCACACTGGAGTCTGATATGGGCCACATTTAAGCAATAACATAAACTGTCAAACAAAAAAATGGGATCTGGGAAACAATCTGAATTGAGCATTAAGGCCTGCAGTCTGAAAGTAGCCTAACATTAGCTGCTAACTTTAGCCATAATAAACACTAACATTCAGAAACGGTGACAGTACAGTTCCTTGGCGTGTGCCAGTGTTGCTCACCATGTCTGACAGGCAGCCATACATCCTGACAAACTGCGGCCAGTCAGTAAGGTAGTCAGTGATCCAGGCCACCGGGTCCTGATCCACCTGCATCACAGAGAGCTTCTCAGCCCTGGAGCACCGGAGAAGTCGAAGAACATGATCCTCACAGTGCTCTGTGGCTTCTCCAGGTGGGTGTAGGCTCTGTAAAGTAGGTAGGTGATGGTGTCGTCCATGCTGATGTCAGCCTGGTACGCAAACTGCAGAGGGTCCAGGTAGTCGCATACCAGGGGCCTGAGGTGTTGGTTGCTACTTTTAGTCATAATAAAGGCTAACATTCAGCTAACATGTAAAATATCAGCAATATTAGCTGCTAACCTTAGTTGTCATAAAGACTAGTGTTTAGCTAACATGTAAAATATCAGTAACATGAGCTGCTAACTTTGATCATGATGAAAGCTACATAGCTGACATAAAATATGAGTGACATTAGCTGCTAACTTTAGTCATAATAAAGGCTAACATTCACCCCCCCCCGGAACTCAAAGGAGGTGTTTGGCTGCAAATGCCAGTTTAGGGCAGCAGTCACTGATTTGCTTCCACCAAGCAATTGGGCCGGACTGTCCTTTACTCGTGTCTTTCAAATATTGCTCCACTCTTTCTTTGCACTGTCTCTGCGTTCTTCTTCCTCTTCGGACTCTGACTCCATCAGCATAGAAATCTCCTGTTTCTTTTTTTTGGCGGTGGTGGTGTGGCAGTCTCCTCTTCCCCGTGACTTGCTGATGGCTCTCCCACCTCCCGAACGGTCTGTTGCTGGTGCAGATGTTCAGCCAGGCGGACAACCTTAAAATCAAATAAAAGTTTTCTTAGTCAAATCTGCAGATGTGACCAGTAGTGCAGCATATTAGTAAATCTATTTCAGTGTTATTTAATAAAAAATATTAGTCTAAGCTCAATATAAACAAGGTCCTTCTTTTCATTGTTGAGGAATTTCAGTTGCTTGAATTGCTGGTCTAGCGCTGAAGAAAGGAGGTAGGGGGGGGGCTCCAAACTTAACAGTTGCCATCTGCTGTCGATCTCTGTGATGAGGGTTTTCTTCAATTCTCCGATGGCAGGGCTGTCATCCTCCTCTGGTGACAGGTGGCGTTTCTTCAGGTTGAAGAGCATTGGCACTGTTGCAGATAACGACACATTTGCCTCCTGTGACAGTAGTTCTGAGAGTGTTATTAGGGACCCCAGTACTTCTGCCGTTTCCTGTGCCAGCAGACTCCTTGAACGTTGCCCGATTCTTTCTTGAGTGTCTCAGTACACAGTTTCATATTGCTGGCATTGTCGTAACCAACAGCTACTCGCTTATTATTTGGAAAAGTGAAGGCGTCCGCCGCAACTCCAAGCTGTTGTGCAACGTTGCCTCCCATATGGCTCACTTCCAGAACGACACCAGAAAGTTCCCACTCTGTAGTTATAAAGTGACAGGTGACAGTCATGTACGCCTCTATACTCACCGAGGTCCAAATGTCGATTGTGAAACTTAAGGCCGTTGCATTTTCAACAAGAGCAAAAACTTGGTCTCGTAGATCGCTGTACGTAAGAGAGGGCCTGTGAAATACTGGGGCATTTTGGGACAGTGTATGTTGGCTCCATGGTATTAATTTTCTGAAGCCTTTGCCTTCAACTACATTAATGGGTCTCATATCCATAGCAATGAACTCCACTATGGCATCTGTTAATTCTCTCTCTTTTCTCTGTTATTGGTTTTTGGAATTGTAGAATCTGCCGTAAAGTTTGGGGTGTGGTTGAGGATGTTGATGGCTGCGATACCTGGGGATGCAAATATGGACATTGGACCACTTATTTTTTAGACTGGACTACTACGTTTACATGTCAGTAGATCAACTGCCATAGGCACAGATGTTCCCAAATCAGACCTTATGTTTTATTTTAACTATTCAGATCAGTTACAACTATTTTCCAAGCAAAGTAATTGCATGTTTTATCATGTGTAACATTAACGTTACATTGGTGTTTACATGCCGTAGATAAAAGCAGCTTTATCATGGCATCTGAGCAAATTATAGTAGCTTAGCTAAGCTTGCTAGCAAGTATGGTCTCGGTTTTTTGGACTGTAAAATAATAGCCTACTACTTACAGAATTGAGGTGAATTTTCAAGCTTGTTGTGCTACCATGGTAGGCCAGTTTCAAACTGCTTATTTGGCACACTGCCTTTATCTTGTCATCATTTAATTTAAAGTGCTCCCACACAGCTGAGGACTTTGGCATGTTGTCCTCTCTTTGAGGTGAACTGAAGCGAGACGTTTGGCGCATGTCGGTGTAAAATTTTTTTTTCAAAAATCGAATCCCAAAATTGAAATTCTATTATATACCCTACGAGCGAATATTCGAATATCTGGGTCCAGGTAAAATTAGCCTTTAGCTGCTAATTTTAGCCATAATATAAACTAACATTCAGCGAAAGTGTAAAATATCAGTAACATCAGCTGCTAACTTTAGCCATAATAAAGACTACTGCAGTATTCACGTGCTCCTGGGATGGTCCCATTTCCCGAGTTGTGAAATCGTTCTTTCGACTTTGGTGTCTTCATGTGCTTTTCTCTGAATGAATGTGGAAACAACATGAATGTTACTGCAAAGATGTGGTGGACTGTCATTGTCATCTCTAACAGTTTGAAACTTTCTCTTTCAAAGTGCTTTTTGTCCCAGAGCTGTTACTGCACCAGTGTATTACCTGAAACCACTAATTGTAAAGACTAGCATTTAGCTACCATGTAAAATATCAGTAACATTAGCTGCTGACTTCAGTCATTAAGAACTCTGACATTCAGCTAACATCTAAAATAGTGGTAACATTAGCTGCTAACTTTAATCTTAAAAAAGCTGACACTCAGCTAACATGTAAAATTAGTCTTTAGCTGCTATTTAAAACCAAAATAAATACAAACATTCAGGTAATGTAAAATATCAGTAACATAAGCTACAAACTAATCATGATAAAGACTAGCATTCAGCTAACATGTAAAATATCAGTAACATTACCTGCTAACTTTAGTCATAATAAAGACAAGCATTCAGCTAATATGTAAAATATCAGTAATATTAGATGCTAACTTTAGCAATCATATAGACTAGCATTGAACTAACAAAATATCAGTAACATTTGCTTCTAACTATAATCTTAAAAAAGCTATATAACATGTAAAATGTCAGTAACATTAGCTGCTACCTTTAGTCACAAGAAAGCTGACAGCTAACATGTAAAATATCAGTAACATTAGCTGCTAATTTTAGCAATCATAAAGACTAGCATTGTGCTAATATGTAAAATATCAGTAACATTAGCTGCTAACTTTATTCATAATAAAGACTAGCATTCAGCTAATATGTCAGTAACATTAGCTGCTAACTTTAGCGATCACGCAGACTAGCATTGTGCCAACGTAAAGTATCAGTATCATTAGCTGCTAACTTTGGTCATAATAAAGACAAACATTCAGCTAATATATAAAATATCAGTAATATCAGATGCTAACTTTAGTTATAAAAAAGGCTGACATGTAAAATATCAGTAATATTTGCTGCTCTACTTTAGCGATCATAAAGACTAGCATTGAACTAACGTGTAAAATATCAGTAACATTTGCTGCTACCTTTAATCCTAAAAAAGCTATATAATAAACATGTAAAATGTCAGTAACATTAGCTGCTAACTTCAGCGATCATAAAGGCTAGCATTTACCTAATATGTAAAATATCAGTAATATTAGCAGCTAACTTTAGCCATAATAAAGATTAACATTCAGCAAACATGTAAAATATCCGTAAAATTAGCTGGTAACTTCAGCGATCATAAAGACTAGTATTGTGCTAACGTGTAAAATATCAGTAACAATAGCTGCTAACCAATAGCTGCTAACTTTAGTAAGAAAAAAGCTGACACTCAGCTAACATGTAAAATATCAGTAACATTAGCTGCTAACTTTAGTCATCATAAAGACTAATGCAGTATTCACGTGTTCCTGGGATGGTCCCATTTCCCGAGTTGTGAAATCGTTCTTCCGACT